AACCCCACCCCAAACCCCCCAGTACATCCAACTGCTGAGGGACTGCCAGGTGAGCCCCAAAACTGACTCCGTATCCCCGAACCCTCCCATAATATGGGGGTTTGGAGGGGCTGGTGAGGGTTTTCTTGGTATTTTTAAACTTAGAATTAGTAACTCAGTTTATTTTTAATTATTAAGTTGTTGGGGGGGCACCCCCATCTCTGGGGACCCCAAAACTGACTCCTGACCTTCAGCCCATCCCTAAAATGTGGGGTTCGATGGGGGGGTTGATAGGGGTTTGCTTCTTAATTATCAGGTTGGTATTAATTTAATATTTAAAAATAAATTGAGTTTTAACAGGTGGGACACCCCAAAACTGACCCCCAAGCCCCCTATAATGTGAGATTTGGGGAGCTGAAGGGGATTTTCCTGCTTGAAGTTTTTGAGGCTGGAATTAAGTTAATAATTAAAATAAATTGAATTATTATTGGGGGGTGGGTCGTTATTACTGGGGGGGATCTCCTGTTTTTCCAAGGGGGGAAATTCCAATACATTTTTAAATATTTTTTATATATTTTTTTTAATTCCCCTTTTCCCAGCAGCTCGATGCTGATGCTGAGCAGCAGTTGGGGGACACTGAGGGGGTCCCACCGGGGGGGCCGCCTGAGACCCGGCCTGGCAGTGCCCCCCCATGCCCATGGGGACCCCCTGTCCTGCCCCCCTGACCAGAGGCACTGCAGGAGAGCGCGGGGACGGTGAGTGGGGGTACCCTGGCAGGGTGGGGGGACACCTGAGGGGGACAGAGTCCCTTGGGGGGCACCTGGGGGCACCTGGTTTATACAGACACAAACAGGGGGGGCTTCAAAGCACCCCAAAATATTCCAAAGGTGCGAAAAAAATCTTTTTTTTTTCCTTTTTTTTTAAGGTTTTTCCTGCCATCCCCAAAATTCCGGGGGGGCCCGCGGGGGACCCCCCCCTACGCTCACGTTCAAGGCTCCAGACACCATTCTTGGGGTCACAGTCCTGTCCCGGAGCCCTGCACCCCATGAAACCAGCACCCCAAAACTGGTGGTGTGGGGGGGGTGTCCATCACCCCTAAAACGCGGGGGGTGAGGGGGGTAGAGCTGTAATTAATTGCTCTATGAAATTGTAATTAGTAATTATCTGCCCCTCCCCCCCAGGTGAGGGCTGATTAGTGATTGTTAGTATAAATCCCAATTAATTGCGTGATAAAAGGAGGTCGCGGGGTGTCGGCGCTGTTTTGGGGGCTTCCCCCCTTGT